CGATTCGACGGCGAGTGTCACTATTGCCACAAGAGCGGACACATGTGGCGCGACTGCTACAAACTCCCTGATGGTTGGGCCCCTGCTCAAGGCCAAGAGGGTAGAGGAGCAGGAGGAGGGAGAGGACGAGGCCGTAGAGGCCGTGGCGGTCGCGGTGGCGGAGCTGCAAACATGAAGATCGGAGACAACGACAAGGACCCGAGCGACGATCGATACCCGGGTCTATTCTACTTCGTGTCGACGCAAGTACCGGCTGGTCCAGAGAAGGATGAAGGCTTTGAGGAGCCAGCAGCTGTGGGGAAGGTGACCCTACACCCCCTGGACTATTGGGTGATTGATAGTGGCGCTACCTATAGCATGACACCTCGCCCGGACTTGCTCACCGAACTCGAGCCGTCACCGGTGAAGCATGTCACATCGGCTTTGGGGCAGCGAGCAGAGGTGAAAGGCATGGGCAAGGCCATGTTCAAGGGTGCTGATGGGAAGATGGTGGGCCTCAAGAACGTGCTTTGGGTGCCCAGCCTTGCTGCAAACCTGATTTCCGTGCGGCGGTTGGCAAAGGCCGGCATGGACACGAACTCGAAGGGAGCCAAGACCTACACCGCAAGGCTTGGCGATCAAATTCTTTGGGACCTTCATGAGGACAGGGATGTCTACAACGAGATGTGGCAGATCCCAGTGGTCCCTATGCCTAAGGAGAGGCAAGTGGCACCAAGCATCAGCACCAAGGATGGAGCGGTCGGTAGCGACGATGGCGCGAACGGTCGCGCTAAGGAGAATGAGCTCAAGAAGAGCAAACCTGGAGGGACCAGCAAGTTCAGTGAACCTAAGGAGAGTGGTGCAGCAACCAAGGAGCAGCAAAAGGGTGAGGAGAACCCAGAGGCAGCAGCGGAGGAGGACTACGGAGAGAGTATGTGGGGCGCTATTGCGAGCGCGGCATTCTCCAATCCAACTTCGGCTACGGGGGAGTGTGATTGGCTCACCTTGCATCGGCGCATGGGGCATGTGGCCCTGCCCATCTTGCAGCAGCTAGTGAAGAATGAGATGGTTGCTGGCATACGTGTGAAGGGGGAGCCCGATGAGGTGCTTGGCTGCCCGACGTGCATTCAAGCCAAGTTCACCCGGTTTCCGTTCCCTAGTTCGGAGGCAACGGCAAAGGCACCGCTTGATGAGGTGGTGATGGACGTGGTGGGCCCCCTGAAGCTTGGAGCTGCTGGAGCTGAGTATTTTCTCACCATTGTCGACGTCTACACCCGCATGACATGGGTGTACGTGCTGGCCAAGAAGAGCGACGTGGCTGAAACGTTGAAGACGGATTGGTTCCCGATGGTGGAGCGGCAACAAGCCCGTCTAGTCAAGTCAATCCGCACCGATCGAGGGGGAGAGTTCCTGAGCAAGGAGTTTGGGTTGTGGCTGAAGAAGAATGGTATTCGGCACTCCCTCACCATGCCATACTCCCCTGCAATGAACGGCATCGCCGAGCGAGCGAACCGCACAATCACGGAGGCGGCACGCGGGTTGCTCATTGAAGCCGGGCTACCCGACTATTTCTGGCCTGATGCGGTGCGGAGCGCGTGTGTGGCCAAGAACAGAGCCTTGACTCATGTGGGAGCAGACAAATGGGTGCCCTATGTGGAGTGGCTAGGAAGGAAGCCAAAGGTGGATATGCTTCGGGTGTTCGGGTGCATGTGCATGGCGCTCGTGCCTAAGCATCTTCGGCACAACAAGCTTGGTGCCAAGGCGGTGTGGGCCGTGCACTTGGGCATGGCTCAAAACAGCAAGGGATGGCTTCTTTGGGACCCATTCACCAAGAAGTTCTTGGTGAGCAGGGACTGCAAGTTCATGGAGAACTTCATGTACAAGGATTGGAAGGCGGAGAATGAGGCGAAGATAGGCGTGCGGTTTGGGGAGGTGAAGAGTTCCGGTTTGGAGCATGTGGAGCTGCCTTTGGAGCTGAGCAGCGGCAGCACAACCACAAGGCAATCCTCCCTTGTGAATGGGGGAGAGGAGGCCAATGATGCAGAGGAAGAAGAGGAGGAGGTGCAGCAAGTGAGCGAGCGTGCACCGTCACTCCCTTCCCGTACTACGAGTGCTCCACGGATTCGAGCCACACCGCAGCAACGCCAAGGCCTTCAAGTCCCTGCAGCTGAGGAGGAAGGAAGGGGGAAGAGGAGAGTTCAACCCCCTAATAGGCTGACCTATGATGCGCCGGGAAAGCAGGGCAAGACAGCCCTGGCCGGAGCGGCAATGATGGTCGGAGACGACGAGGAGAGTGACTACGAGGAGTGTGCCTTCGCGTTCTTCTCTCCGGTGGAGATGCCGGGAGAACCAGCAACTCTCAAGGAGGCCTTGGAGAGTAGTGATGCTGAGGAGTGGAAGAAGGCCATGGAGAGTGAGCTGAAGAGCATCGAGGAGAATGACACGTTTGAATTGGTGGAGCTACCGGAGGGGCGTACGGCGATAACGTCCAAGTGGCTCTTCAAAATCAAGTCGGATGCCGACGGCAAGATCGAGCGCTACAAGTCTAGGCTTGTAGCCAAGGGGTACCAGCAGAAGGAGAAGGTGGACTTCAAGGAGCTGTTTGCCCCTGTGGTGAAGCCGACGACGCTGCGAACCCTATTCGCGGGAGCCGCCATCAAAGGATGGGTAGTAAAGCAAATGGACATCGTAACGGCATTCCTTAACGGCATCCTTGAGGAGGAGATTTTTATGGCGCAGCCAGAGGGGTTTGATGATGGTAGTGGCAGAGTGTGGAAGCTGAAGAAGGCCCTCTATGGGCTGAAGCAGGCCCCTAGGCAATGGTACATGAAGCTGCGCGAAGTGTTGGAGGGGATCGGCTTCACTCCCTCAACGGCCGATCACTCCTTGTTCATGCTTGGCGAGGGGGAGCAGAGGAGTTTCATGGTGGTTTATGTGGATGACATCCTCATTTTCTCACCCTCTTCTGACCTTGTGAAGGAGGTGATGCTGACGCTTCAAGACAAGTTCAAGTGCAAGGCCCTTGGTGACGTGAGCTTCTACCTTGGGCTCCACATCGAACGAGATGTGGAGAAGCGGTGCATGCGGGTGCATCAACGAAAGTACCTGGAGGCATTGGCTGCCAACTTTGGGCAGAGTGAAGGCCATGTGGCTACACCCTTTCCCTCTGGGTTCAAGTGTGTGAAGGGACCAGAGGAGGAGAGCGTTGGTGAAGAGGAGAGGCGCCGATTTCACTCGTTGGTGGGCAGCCTCATGTATGCGGCGGTAAACACCCGACCGGACGTCGCGTTTGCTACCGGGCAGCTGGCTAGGGTTGTGCAATGCCCTAATGAGGAGCAGGTAGCAGCTGGAATGAGGGTGGCCAAGTATCTTGGCCAAACACCGACCGTTGGGCTGCAATACTCGGCGGCGGCACAAAGGCGCCAAAAGGGCGCGGATGGTGTTGAACCCGGGCGTTTGTTCCTCACAGCCTACTCGGATGCTTCATATGCATCAGAACCAGAGGACATGACAAGTGTGGGAGGCTTCATATGCTGTGTTGGTGGAGGCCCAACGGCTTGGGAGAGCAAGAAGCAGGTTGACCAAGCTTTGAGCTCGGTGGAGTCCGAGTACATGGCACTCTTCCGTGCCGTACGAGAGATTGTGTGGCAGCGGCGTTTGTTGGCTGAATTGGGGGAGGAGCAGCAAGGACCTACCCCACTGTACTGTGACAGCCAGGGTGCCATTGCTCTTGCTAAGAACCCTGTGTTGCATGGACTCACGAAGCACATGAGGGTGAAGTGGCATTGGACGAGGAGCATGGTAACCGCGGGTGAAGTTGAGTTGCGCTACGTGAAGACCACGGGGCAGCCGGCTGACATGATGACCAAGAGGCTGGTGGAGCAGCAGCATTGGAAGTGTTGCAAGCTGGCTGGGATGGCTCTGAACTGAGAGAGCAACATATCCTAAGGCCAACAATCCGAGGGGGAGTTTGTTGGTGCAACCCTACGGTTTGCACTCGGCTTGTTGTCCGTGTGCGTGAATGTGTGTGTGTATGGAATGGTATGAGGGCATGGGATAATATATATTTCATGCTTATAATTGTGTGTGAATGTTGAGTCATGATGTCGAGTGTGTGTGTGGAGTCAATAGCGAGTTATCGCTAGACGCGTGTTACGCGGTCGTTTGTGTCTCGCGCGCGGTTTCTATTTTGTCGTGCGCGGTTTCTATTTTGTCCTGTGTCGAACGTTCGGCGTGTCGCAGGTGTGTGCAGCAGACCCATCAAGAACTCAAGGATGAGTTTGTGATGAAGAGCCCGAGCCTTGGTGTCAAGCCTCAAGTGATTTCGAAGCTTGCCAAAAGGGTACACCTCAAGATATTGAAGATAGTTACATTACTTTGTGTAGTGTAACATTTCACTTGGTGTAGTCCCTAGTGAAGGGTAGTTTCGAGACCCTTCGTGGTTGGGGACAGTGTGGCACTGTTCCACATCACTGTACCTCGGCTCTTGGGATTTGTAGGAGCTGGGAGTCATTCCCAACTCGTAACTCTTCCTATCTTGTGTTCTAAGACTATAGTGGCTGCCATAGTACCGTTCGTTCAAACCGACGCTGTGTCGTCAATTCTTTATCAAATCGTGCAATCTAAATTGCTAATTGTAGACGACGTGAAGACGCTCCAGATCCAATTTGAATCAAGTCATTTGCAGCTGTGAGCAGAACGCTATCAACGTTTGAAGCCGCTGTGCAGAAATCCGTCTGTGCTCTCTATCTTTCGTTTTAGGCACATTCAAGCCTATTGTGACTATAACAATCCTCGATACGAGTGAATAAAGGGGAGCTGCTGCAGCCTGTACTTGACAAGATGCGACATACATACACGAAGCTGACGATGGCCGGCCCCCTCCACCTCTTCAGCCTCCTCCACCTCTTCCTCCCCCTCCACCTCTTCCTCCTCCTCCACCTCTTCCTCCTCCTCCACCTCTTCCTCCTCCTCCACCTCTTCCTCCTCCTCCACCTCTTCCTCCTCCTCCCCTCTTCCTCCTACTCCACCTCTTCCTCTTCCACCTCTTCCTCCTCCTGCACCTCTTCCTCCTCCTCCACCTCTTTCTCCTCCTCCACCTCTTCATCTTGCTCCGCCTCTTCATCCGCCTCTTCACACTCCCTGCCCTCATCTTCGCCCCCCTTGCTCCTCCTCTTGCCCTTCCTCCTTCCCCTCACTTTCCATTCACCTTCTCTCAATTAGCTTCCCTCCATTCTCTCCCCAATTTCCAATCCCTCCACATCTCCACCCACCAACCTCACACATTTTGCCAGCTTGCCCCACCCTTGAGCCCACAAACCACCCCCTTATATACCATGTGCCATGCTGCAGATTTTGCCAATGAGAAGGGGTTGAGACGAAGCCCTAGAAGAAGGCAGAAGAGGAGAAGGGGAAGAACAAGATGAGGTTGGGCCGGTTGTAGCATGACACGTCTTGCCACAGGGAGGAGAGGGAGAGGCGGACGGAAGAGCATTTGTTGCTCAGCGGATGGAGGAGAACGTTTAAGTGGAGAGACAGAGACGTGAGGGTGCGCGTGGTGGGCAATCTTAGGAGACGGAGGAGCATGGAAGGGCACCGCATGGTGAGGAGGTTCACACGACGGAGGGGTTGGCATAGTGGTGCGAGGGAGGGTTGTCAAGGGAGGCAGTGGCTCCTCAAGGGAGCGAGTGGGTTCCTCAAGGCACACGGTGGGTTGAAAGGTGGTTTGGAATTGGAGGATGAGGATGCGTGGTGGGCACAGGAAGGCCCGGGAGATGCGGCACGGTGCAGAGCGGTGACAGTGGGTGCACGCCTCGCCTTGATTGCACTGTCTCATCCTGGAGAAAGGGGGAATGAAGGGAGGAGGGGTAGGGGAACGAGTAGGACCAGCGAGAAATTACGAAAGATAAACAGATGTTGTCTGGTGCGAATGAGCAAACACGTGCATAACAATCAGATACAAGCGATCAGAAGAAGATTGTACCTGGAAGAGATTTTGCAACAGAGAGTGGATGGTGAGTGAGGCGGCAGCAACACGGCCAGCGCCAGCAGCACTAGGATCAGTAGCACTGCCTCTGGTACCTCTGCTGCTGCGTGCACTAGCAGTAGAGCCAGCAAGAGCAGCAGGAGCTCTTGATCCAACCGTGGTGGAGTGAGTTGCAGAGCACGCGGGGTGGGAGGATGGGGAGTGAGGGATAGAGAAACTCCTCCTCACTAGTGTCTCTCCCTCCACATCCCTCACAACAACCCCTCACCGCCCCAACCGTTGAAAGGAAATTGAGCCCACTGCACACCCAACCCCATCTCCACTCATCGCCTCCTCCACCCTCTCCTCTCCCTCTCCACCACTCTCTGCCCTCTCTGTCCTCTTTTCCCTCCATCGTGCCCTAGCCCTCCTTCCCCGCCCTCTCCTGCCCTACCCGCAGGCGCCCTGCCTTCTCCCACGATGGGGTTCCGGGTGCGGGTGTGGGCGGGAGAGGCGGCGACAGGGTCACAGGGGCGATGGAGGCAGTTTGGGAATGAAGGCAGTGGAGGAGCGAGCAGAGGAACTCGTGGGCGTTCTGATGGCGGCAGATGAAAGGGCAGATGAGATGGCGGCTCGCCTCCACCATCACCATCGCAAAGGCTTCGCCGAACAGCCGTCGCTCCCACCTCCAGGCCCCTTCCCCCCTTGGTCTGCCCTTTTAAGACGCTATACTCGGAAAGTTTCGTCCTTCGTCCCTCCTTGAATTCCGCTCCTTCCCGCTCCTTCCGCTCTTTCCAGACGGCTCCTTCCGTTCTTGATCGAGGAGTTATGTGAGGGGAGTATCCATCCTTCCTTCCCATGCCTTGCTGCAACCCCTCCGCTGCAATACACCGCATTGCTGCAAAGCAAGGGGCACCAGCACCAGTAGCGGAGGCGGCGATGGTTTCACCGGCAGCAGCAGCGCCACCTGCTTCCTGCACTTTCTCTTCTCGTCCGTTCCTTCCGCCACGCAGCTCGCCTCCACCAAGCATCATGTATTCCTCAGTCACCCCCGTGTGCCATCCAACCTCCGTGTCGCATGCTCACACGCCCACGCCTCACAATGCCCCAGTCTCGCCTGCTTGTGCCCCTACCCCTGCACACTTTCTCTACTCACTCATGTCTGTCGAGCCCCCACCTGAGCTACGCCGGCCCCTCGTTACTCGTCAGCCAATCGCATGCACCACTCCTGTCACGCCGCTTCGGCTGCAGCTGTTGCTGCTGCCTCATCGAGTCCTTGGCTGATGCCCGCCATACATCTGCCACGCCACTGCAGACGCACACCACCATGGCAAGGATGTTTTGGGGGGAGTGAGGGGGGGTCAAGGTGAGGGGAGAACGGGGGGGGGGTATGATTGTGGGGAGCAGTTGCGCAAGAGCTTTCGTGGGGAGGCGGCACGGCGCACTGCGCCTCGCACTGCCCCCTCTCTCGACTCGCTCCTATCTGTCCCTTTCTTCCCGTCTGTCTAACCCCCACCCCACCTACGCTTCGCCGGCCTCTGGTCAGCTCCAGTCGAATGCACTCCTCCTGTCCCTGCTGTCAGAATCAATGAAACAGGAATGATTGACTAGCAGGAGGGTTGGGTACAAATAGGTCAAACCTAACCCTAGAAGTGTTGTACTCCCTAAGGCTAAACCCACTATAGCCTACACCATATATAAATATATAATGTTTGACACACCCCCATAGGCGAAGTGGGAGACAACCAGAGGGTCACAAGACCAGTCAAAGCAAAGCAAAGCAAAGCTCAGGGTGGATCTCAAGGATACCACACAAATTCCAAGCACAAGCAAGTGGTCACAAGACCAGTTCACATGCAGTTTGATAATAGAACAAGAGGTACAGTGATCACAACCTAGCAAGTGAAAGCATGCAGGTATATATATAGAGATCACAGTACAAGAAGAGTCAAGAAGTGAGCAAGTGAGGGAGAGTAGGCACAAGGCCTAGAACAGTACAGAAACGCTGATGGTCACAAGGCTGAAGCGCCTTGGTGAACACATCAGCAGTGTTGGCCCGAGTGGCCACGTAACGCAGACGAAGCTGACCACGCTGCTGCAGCTCTCGAGCAAGGAAGTAGCGCAGAGCGATGTGCTTCGTTCTGTGCTCCAGTCTGTGCTCCTCACACAAGGCAATGGCTGCCTTGTTGTCGACGTACAGCACTGGAGGAGAACGAGGCCGCTCTCCGAGGTCGGTCAGCAGGTAGGTGAGCCAGCGTAGCTCCTGGGCAGCCATGGCTGTGGCGTAGATCTCAGCCTCACAACTGGAGCTGAGAACAGAGGAAGAGCGTGTAGAACGCCAGGAAACAGAGCCAGAGCCAAGGCTGAAGGTGTAACCCTGAGACGACCGCTGCGTAGCCTGGTCGTCAGCCCAAGAAGCGTCTGAGTGTCCAGTGAGGACAAGGTCGCGCCGTCCTCCAAGCACAAGCCCCATGCCCGACGTACTGCACAAGTAGCGCAACACCCTCTTAGCGGCATCCATGTGCTCCTTCCGGTGACGGCCAGGAGCGACATAGCGTGCTAGGGTGCTAAGAGGGTAGGCTAGGTCAGGTCGAGTGCAGGTCATCAGGTACATGAGGCAGCCCACAAGCTCTGGATATGGGCCACTCGGCTCTACGGACTCATCCAAAGGCAGAGCTGAGAGCGAGTGACCGGTAGGCAGAGGAGTGGGCTGAGGCGAGGAGTACGTGAAGCGGAAGCGCTGAAGGACCTGCTGCACCATGTGTGACTGAGTCAAGGTGATGGTGCGCTGTGCTCTGTCCCGGGTGATCCGCAAGCCAAGATAGCTTGTCGGCTCACCCAGGTCTGTGCATGTGTGTCTCTTCTGCAGCTCCGACTTCACGTGGGCGAGTGCCTCAGTGTCAGCAGTAGCAAAGACCAAGTCGTCTACGTACACGAGAACGTAGAACGGCGGCAGAGTGGTGTCGGTGCGTAGAAACAGCGACGGGTCAGCAGTAGAAGGAGCAAACCCAAGAGCAGCAAGAGTAGTCCTCAGTGTGTCGTGCCACTCACGGGGCGCCTGGCGGAGACCGTAGACCGGCCGCCGGAGGCTCCACTGGGTACCAGGAGGGAACGACCCAGTGAAGCCAGGTGGGCGGCGCAGCCAGATCTCCTCGTGCAGGGTGCCCTGTAGGAACGCAGTGCTGAAGTCAAGGCAGTGGAGCTCGTAGTCACGCTGAGCGGCGACGTGCAGCAGAACCCGAAGAGTGGTCATCTTCGGGGTCGGGGAGAAGGTCTGGAAGAAGTCAACTCCCTCTCGCTGACTGAAGCCTCGTGCAACGTAACGCGCCTTGAAGGCAGGCGGAGAACCCGGCGGCCGCTTCACCCTGAAAATCCACATGCCACTGACGATGTTCGCCCCAGGTGGGGGAACCTCGTCGACGTAGGTGCCTATGGACTTCCAGGAAGCCATCTCTGCGCCCATGGCTGTCTGCCACTGAGAGGAGTACTCACCCTCCATCGCCTCTGCGTAGGAGCGTGGGGTCGGGATGTCTGGTGCATCCGGGTCTCCCTCAGGGGCAATCAGCATGGACACGAGATGAGGTAAAGCAGCAGCAAAGCACTCAAACTCCTCCTGTCTGTCCTCAAGGACGTCCGTGCCAAGAGCACACTCACCCCCGACGGACGGAGGACAGACAGACTCACACTCAGCGACAAGGCTAGCGGCGTAGTCTAGACGACAGGCGGCAGCAAAGTCAACAAGCTCAGCGACTAGAGCAGACGCAGCAGAGGACTCAAAGGTAGGGTCAGTGACAACAGTGGCAAGGAGACGCACGACAGTAGGACTGGCAGCACGAGTACGGTCTGACGGCGGGTCGGCAACGTCAGGAAGAGAGGACGTAGGAGGAGACGGCAGAGGGACGCGCTGTGGAGCAGTGGACGGACGCAGGGTCATGTAGTGAGTGCCTAGGACAGGAGGAGGACGCTCACGTGGAGCACGACGACCAGTGCGTGCAGTGCGGACAGGCGACTCTGGACGAGACTCAGAAGACACAGGACTAGACTCAGGCGACGGAGGACGAGACTCAGGCTCACGACGCTCCGTAAAGCTACCTGTCGGCGCAGTGTAAGGAGAAGGACCAGGCAGTGGAGAGGCAGGCTGTAACTGTGACTGGGACGGGACAGGTGGTGGACTCAGTAGGGGAGGAGGAGTAGGACCAGGAGAGGGCGGGAGACCAAGAACCTGCTGAAGGAGCGGAACGTAGTACGGCCGCAGCCGCTCAGCACCTCCAGTGCCAACCCCCTCAGCAGCTCCAGTCCCAGCAGCTCCAGTACCTCCAGTACGAGCACCTCCAAGACCGGCGGCTCCAGCAGCTCCAGAACCAGCAGCACCACCAGCAGCACCAGCACCTCCAGCAGCTGCAGCAGCAGCAGCACCTCCAGCAGCACCAGCACCAGCAACACCTCCAGCAGCTCCAGTAGTACCAGCAGCACCAGTACCAGCAGCACCTCCAGCAGCGCCAGCAGCACCGCCAGCAGCAGCAGCACCTCCTGCAGCTCCAGCAGCACCAGCACCAGCAACACCTCCAGCAGCTCCAGTAGCACCAGCAGCAGCAACAGCACCTCTTGTAGCTCCAGTAGTACCTCCAGCAGCTCCAGCAGCACCAGGACCAGCAGCACCCCCAGCAGCTCCAGCAGCAGTACCGCGGTCCGCGACGCGAGGAGCGCCACTCCGGAGACTGCAGTGCCGAGCGTACCACTCGCGGAGCTGCAGGGGAGAGGGGAGCGCCCGCCTAGGAGGGGAAGCACTAGCACCAGCTCCAGCAGCGCTCCGAGCGCCAGAAGCACCTCTCCTGAGGCTGCAGTACTGTAAGTACCACTCACGCAGCTGCTCGGAGGAGAGAGCTCCTCCAGGTGCAGCACTCCCAGGCTCAGCACCCCCAGACTCAGCACCCCTCGACTCCGCAACCCCAGGCTCCGCACCCCCAGGCTCCGCACGCTCAGGCTCAGCACCCCTAGCAGGACGAGAGTCGACAGCTACCTCGACAGGGTCAACCGGGTCTACCTGGGACACACCTGAGGGAGCGGCACCCTGAGGGGGGAGGGGGTCTACCACAGCAGCACCTGGCGCGAGGAAGAGAGGCGGGGGAGGGAGCGGGGCAGTGCGGTAGGGGAAGAGGCGGTAGTAGGGCACCGACTCGTCAAAAGTGACGTCCTGAGAGGGCAGGATACGGCGCGAGGTGGCGTGGTAAAACTGCCAACCAGACGCGTCCGGGACAAAGCCAAGGAAGACACAAGGAACAGCGCGGGAGGAGAGTTTGTCCGCAGATGTATCGCGGACAAAAGCTCGAGATCCCCAGACCCGAAAACGCGACGCATCGCCAACTTCCCCCGTCCACAGCAGTGTGGGCGAGGTCTCCGGCAAGGAGACACGGGGCCAGAGGTTGAGCTGATGCGCAGCGTAGCGGACTGCAAACGGCCACAGAAAGTGGGGGGCAGCCGCATGGATCAAGGAGGTACGAGCGACCTCCATGACCAAGCCAATGCGGCGCTCAGCAACCCCATTCTGCTGTGGAGAGGCCGGAAGCGTGAACGACTGCTCAATGCCGTGCTCCGCACAGTAGGCTGCCAAGAGGTCGGAGGAGAACTCACCACCTCTGTCAGAGTGCAGACGCAAGACAGGAAAGTCCGAGTGGAACCGCTCGCTGAGCTGGAGACGAGAAGCGCGGATCCAAGGGATCAAAACAGCAGGGACCTCACCCTTGGTGCGCAAGGGGAAGACCGTGGTGTAGCGCGAGAAGTCGTCAACAACGATCAGGAAGTACCGCTCCTGACCCTGTCCACGGACGCGGGCTGGGCCCCACACGTCCATGTGGAGCGTCTGCAAGGGAGCAGTCGTCGGGGGAAACGAGGAGGAGTGAGGAGCGGTGCGCTGCCGCCCCTCGACACAAGGAAGACAGGGAGGAGCAGGCGAGGGTGGGAGGGGAGGAAGTACCCGGGGAAGACCAGAGACAAGGTACCGTTTGTGCATGGCACGAAGGCGCTGCACGGACGG